TAATTGTACTAGTTACAAAAATACGTATTATAATTATCTACAACTCTCCAAATGCCACTAATCCCGACAAAAACCAGTTTACCGAGTTCGATATTCAAAACTATCTAACTATAAAAAATATTTCATCAGAAGCATATTATAATTAATAAGTTAAAATGATGATATAAGACGTATTTGATTGATAAGTACAAGAATCACTTATAAATGTATTCAGGGCCGGATTTAGGGGGGGCCCACGGGGCATAAGCCCCGGAGCCCTCACAATATTCATTTAATAAGAAGCCCAAACAAAATAATTTCCTTTTTTTTTTTTAATTTTTCTAGTAATTTGCAAAAAATATTTTATATTTTTTCTTTTAGTTAGTTTTTCTATTTTTTTTAAATTTTTTCTTTAAGTTTGGCAAGTGGTGCTATTAGTGTAAGATTAAACGAATTACTAGATTGGGATTGGCAATTTTCTACCATTACTACTTAATTACAAACATAATTACTCAACTTCAGTGTCGAGTGATGGGTCGTTAACCATAATAGTTATTTTAATTATAAAAATAGGATTATTTTGTGCGTGTTATATTAATAAAAAGAGATGACTTTAAAAGTTACTTATATTTACGTATTGATTGTAATAACGTTTTGTAAATCTTTATTAATTATGTCCCATAAGAAAAATTGATGTGATTTGAAATTAATATCATGATGAGGAAATAACCCATCAGTAATATAATTTTAAAGTTTAAGTTTGAAAGCTAGGTACTTAGCTAAGGGAGGGTCAGGGTGTATCTGGCCTACCCTTATGTGTCCGACCTTAGGCCGGCACACCTAAAGTATTCAGAGGGCCCATTATTATATGATGGCTTTTAATTTTTACCAAATTTTTAATATTGCCTAAATATGACGCAAATAAAACCAAATACATTGGGTTTTAATTATAACCTAATATAAATAATGTACTTGTAACTAAACTTAAACGATCGATTAAGAAATAATTGCTCTTTATAGCTAAATACCGGTGCTATACTACAATGTCACGTTGTTCTTATCTTATCTAGACAGTGACTACTGTATACTTGTATGTCTATTATTAAAATACTTTGAGCGAGGGTATTGTCATTATGTTGATTCATATAGAAATATAGAATTATATTATGGTCACCGGTTGGACACTTACATTCACATTCAGCGCACGCCGCACTTATGCTAACGTCATCTACATTAATATTTGTACAATTTATAGTATTTATACATTTTATTTTATATATTTAATATTTAAATTAATTTTAAAATGACACCTCTCAGTGGATGTGCCAAAAGAAAACGGAAATTACAAAGAGAAAAGCAAAATGATAAAATATGGTATTATTAGGTTATATACTTATATATTTGTAATAATGATACGCTGATAACTACCTTTTTATAATATAAAAAAGTCGGGAAGGAGGTAACATTGGCCCACCTAGTGAATATTTTCTGTTTACGTGCCTGTTGAAAGCATGTAGATCAAGTAAAAATTCTTATATTTCAATCTTATGTGGGCCCTGAGGCTCCCATAACCCTAAATCCGACTCTGAATATATTGATCTATTAAGAAAAATTAAAAAGCTATTTTCATTAAACTAGAATAATTGAAATAATTCTATGCCCAATATTATGTCTAGATACACACAAATTTATCCAAAGAACTATAGTATCCAGAAATATTTCGACCTGAAACGGTACAACTTCAATATTTATTTGCACACATTTAATATTATAATATATTTCAATGACGTCTGTGGGTTGATTTGACGAGCCAAAGATTAATCGCTGATGTATTGCTTGCCGGGTCTTGAAACGATGAGTAACGGAACGTAACTTTTATATTATTACGCCATTGATCTTGCCTATTGAACGTGGTCCAAGACCAATTCATACCATATCGGCCGTAGGTGTAAAGTATGTTACATAACTACCCCGGGGAGTCGATCGCGTCGTTGCAGTATATAAGTACGGGCAAACGCTGTGATACATAACGGTTCGTTCTCTGTTCGTCGCAGCTCCGTGCCAACAACGTTATTATTTACATTATTTATAGATCATCTTTATTATTATTGTTATTAATATTTCGGTCGTAGATCGAACGGTAGCTCACCGTAGCCTGTAGGTAACTGTTCATTTTTCCGAACCGCGCGAAAACGTTACACCGCAGATGAGACGCGCGGCTGCGTAAACTACTATATATTATAACACACATGCCCGTACCTTCGTAACGGCCTCTCCCAGAAACCCACTCGTTAACAACTAATGAGCTCAATCACGATATCGGCTGCTGTGCTATTATCGTGCCGGCCGCACGTCGAATACTTTGTTGCACGACTTGTACAATTTACTCGCGTAAATCACGCGACACGGTACTTAGCGTTATAACAAACAAATTGACCAATTTGTCAATATTCCTCGACTCACACGTCCTCTAGTTGTACTCGTACACCACCTATACATTGTTAACGAAAATTTATTTTTGAAAAAAAAATAATAATAATAGTTTAACGTCTCAAACGTAATATGCGTGGCATGCCAATCACCCTGCTCAGACAAATGAATCATAATAATGTACTCGGTTTCCGTCAAACATATGACATTGTAAAATTACAATGATTTAGATACTTGATACTAATAAAAAATTTAATCGCCTCGTCGTAATATTTTTAGCGATAATAGATAATAATAATTAATAATATCTATCGAACTGGCATGCTATGATGGTATTAACTCGTGTATCGTTGTGAAAAGTTAATAAAATATTGTGTTGATTAATGAAAAACCTAATAATAATCTTATTAACAAATCACTATTCATATAATAATTTCATTTTAGTTATGGATAGATTTAAATGACTACGGTATAATAACACAAATTTAACTGTTAAACTGTTTTTGATTAAATAACGAATAACGGTATTTTTTTCTAGTTATTCGCACGACCATTAAAGTCTCTGATAGGTGTACACACAAGACGTGCGAAGAAAAAAAATATTGTTCAGATTTATATTCTTAATTGCATAGGTAAATGAAGGTTTAATTTTCTACTTTATAACTGTAGTCCAATTTTTATGTTAATTACATAACATTTTATATAGTTCACCAAAAATTACTGGATTTGATTTTCTAGAAATATATTATTATTCGATCTTGAATGAAAATCATTAATCATACTTTACTTCTTCCATAAATTGTGTACTTCTCAAAAAAAAAAAAAATATTTAAACAATGATTCAATCAGTGGATGCAGTGGTTTTTAAAATACAAAAAATAAATATGGTTAAAAACAAAAACCTGTTACCTATATCCGTACTATCCAGTATATATAGTTTAATACGATCGTCGAAATTATTTAGTGTATTATTAAATTACAATTAATCCAACGCAATGAAGTAGAATAATAAAATATTTCTTGATAAAAAATACTATACGGTTAATAACATAAAATTATTATGAAACACTTTTTAAAATAATTTAAAATGTTTAGTTAAAAATAAAGAATTATAAGAAATATAAGAATTTCATTATTAGAATTATAATTAGACAAATAAAAATTTGATAAAATTAATCAAAACACAATTCAGACCAAAATATTTAATAGATAACATACTATAATGTCCGTGAAAAATTAGTAATTTGATATTTCATCCGTCCCAATAACCTGATTTTACGGTAAACATATTAAAGTATTGTAAAGTTAAATGAAATTAGTATGTCTAACTATGCTGGAATATTATTAAACGGTGCTATTAATAACAAACGTGATAATCTTATATTATTATTTATAAATTTTTAAATTAAAAACCATTCAAATAAAATCTATTTTTTTTTTTTTTTTTAATTGATCTAACACGTGTGGGCATCAGTCGTTTCCGCAAAAAAACTTGAATTTTTTTCCGCCGAGTATTGTTTTCGCCAAAATGAAAAACATTCGATTTTCGTTTCCACCACCTGTCTAAATTATAGCTTGAGAACTAACTTAATAACTTTATTAAAACTTAACTAACTTAATAACTTTAATAAGTTTATTTAACTTAATTTTTGAATTAAAGTTTAAAAAATTGAATTTGAATTAAATTAATATATTTTATATACAATCAAATATTTCTGATATTTCTATAAATTATTTAATATTTTAAATAATTTTTACATACCTTTTTTAAAAATGCCATTCTTAAAATAGTTTTATTTTTGTATTTATCTGTTGTGCTTATTGTATTAATTAATCGGTTTTTTCTATTAAATCTTACAAGTTTTTTTCATGCTTGAGTGGCATCTATTAATTTAAATATATACGTTGTTTGAACATTTGAAATGAAAATTTTTAAAAATGTATTAATGTTGACGAATGCATTTTGTAACAAGATTATCAATCACTTGAATGAAACTGATGTTAGCTATATAAGACAAGATGTTCTAATACAATTTAGGAATTTGTAAATAGTTAATTCTAATTTTTTGATTAAATTCTATAATTTACTTCTTGAAAAATAGCTTATTATATTTATATAAAATAATTATAGAGTAATTAGTTTTCAGTGTATGTTTAAAACATAAAAATTGTCGAGAATTGTATACCTGATTTGATCAAGACATAATATGATTGTTTGGATTTTATTGCATTACGTTTTTTTTTTTTTTTTTAAAGCCTTTAACACATCGATTAATTTATAATGATCAGGATATATAGTTTCAATTTCTTATTCAAATGAAATATTCGCATCGAAAGGAACTCTTAGTATTTATTTATTTTTTAATTATTTCTCAGCTATTTATTTATTATACAAATTATATCAATATTAATACGCTAATAATAACAATATTTATACGAGTCAATTTTAAATTATAATATTATTATGTATATTTCAACCTAGTAAATAAAATATCCAAATATTTAGGAGAAAAAAATTTAATAAAAAATTGTAATAAAATAGTACAACTCAATTTTACCAACAATGCATTGACGCTATTATTTTTTTTCAGATCGGTGGTATTACAATGAGAAGAATCAACCGTCGGTTGGTTTTGTTACTTATCATACTTGTGTGTGACGTAGTAAGTGTTTTCGGGCGACCTCAAGAGCAAAATACAGCTAGCAGCCAATTGAAAGGTAATTGTCAGAAAAAAAAAAAATTAAAAAAAATCTTTGAATAACAAACGCGTGTGGAGTTTTACGACCGAAAAGTTTAAAAAAAAAAAAAAAACCAGTCTCAATATACAAAATAAAATGTACAATTTATACGTGCTAAGTTCAACGTTTTTTCAATCGTTTATTGGAAAAATACAATTAAACATTTTGAGTGGTAATCAAAATTATATTAAATTATTTTCTAATGTTGTAAAACAACGCCTGAAAATGGGCGTACACAAGTGGATGACTAAGTATTTGCCTATCCATAGCGCCGACATATTCAGTAACATAAAATTCGTATATACTATTATTTCAAAACAACACTATGGTTTAAAATTGAATTTATTGATCAATGATTATTACAAATTTTCGAGAGGCAAAGAACTTTTTCATTTCTATCTATAATATTCAGATGACAAAAGCATAAAAACTGCTCGCAACTAATCCACAATAAGCTATATTAAGTGACAAATTATTATAAATATTTAATTCTAATAATGTTTTATTTTTTGTTACAGATGATCATGTTAACAGGTATACAGCTTTTGCTACGGCCACACCGAGATCTTTGGAATCTACGAAAAGCTACTTGAGCACGTCTAAAAATCAATACGCATCGAGTGTCATAAACAAAAAAGAAGACACCCGTTACGCCGAACCCGATCCATCGCTTAGACCTTTTTTCCAATTCCTTTTGAATTCCAAAAAAAGAAAAAAACGAAATTTAATGAGTTCGCCCGACAGTCGGATAGTAGAAGATTTTATTAACTATTCGATTAATAGCCTACAAAATCCAGTCCATGCCGATTCGTTCGACTCAGTAGTACTTTTGCATAACAATGGTGTACAACACTCATCATATGAACAAGAATCCGACACTCAATACATGCCAGTGCCGATTTTTATGAAAATTCCAAAAACCAAACCAGCAAAGTACGATTTGGCCTCATCTAGTTCTATTTCTGGCTCAATATATCCAACGTCCACCTCTGATCCGTACAAAAATTGGCAGGAAACACCTTTGATCTTCCCCGATAGTAATAAAAAGCCATCTACTACTCGTCCACCTTTCTCATCCAATCATTATCAACCCGAATATAATATTCCCGCTCTAGTCAATAACCAATCACCAACATTTGTTACACCCGTTCAATTGCAGGCACCAACTTTTGTCACACCCATAGAATATCAAGGTCCAACGTTTGTCACACCAATATCCGTCACCCAAACCCCTTCGCCAGACGGCAACCCCCCACCGACCATAGTTATATTAGAAGACATCGACACGGTGGTAGAGCCTCCACAAAGTGACCCCATTGTAGAACAGGATCCGGTGGGTGCGGGAGGGGGTGGTGCAGGAGCGGCTGGTACAGGAGCGGGTGGAGGTGCAGCTGCGACTGCAGCTGCAGCTGCAGCTGGAATCACATCAGTAGTAGGAGCAGGAGCCGGCATAGCTGGGATCGCTGGAGGTGTAGCCGCTTCGATAACTGGGGGTGATGCTGGCGGAACTTTAACGCCTGCAGACATAGCCCAATGCCGTGCCGGTGGTGGTGCTTCAAAAGTTTGTTCTGAGTTAATAACAACTTCATCATCACCAGATAGTTCCGATTCAATATCGTTTTTGGATAGCATAACTTCCTTATTGAGTTCTATTAATTTTATCGGGCCTTTGATGATAACTTTTTGGTCAATGTTATTTCCACCAATGTCTATAATTTTGACTAGCGGTCTAGGTGTTATATCTTTCTTATTTCCTTGGATATTGCCCAGGCTGTGGTTCGGTCGTCAACTTACACATTCTTTTAACATAAACCATTTCGACCAACGTGTAGAAAATACAAACAGTTATTACCATCAGCCATATTATTACTAATAAGACTATTAAAGTATTTCTGAGTAAAATGTTTGAAACAACGTTGTACTATGTACTATAATTACTTTCATTTTCTACTATATTGGGTTTGGTGATCACGGGTGTGCGTCTTAATAACTGAATTCACATTAATTCTTATATTAACTATAATTAATATTTTGATTTGCCTATTGTTTAATGTTAGTTTTATATTTCAGGCTGTGACGTCGTTATTGCGATATTATTGTACAAATTAGTAGAATTAAATATTACGATATAAGATAGTCATAATTTATACGTATAATTGTTATACGTGGACACTACACAAAATAAAACATTATCACATCGCAACTTGACTATTTTCATTAAAACCCAAAATATTATCGATCATATTTATTTAGAATACACTGATTTACGTTGATTTATTTTTATAGGAAAGATGATACGCCAATCGTTGTGTTCGCGGAAACGTCCGCCAATACAGGTGATGCCCGTGCCCATACTACTAAAGCACCGTTAATGGGTGATTCCATGAAGTCTGTTAGCGATCAACTTTTGCAAACGTCTACGTCTAGCAATGTCATCGTGTCAACGGAAATCAGAACGGTCTCGAAGAACGAATCGCCTTTAAAAGGAGAAGCAGTACCAGTGCTCACCGATGATGATGTACACGCCGTTGGCCCGTATAGTTATAAGATATCGTCTGATGGCTCAACAAGACCAACAGGAGACTTATCTACTTGGATTTTGTTGGGTGGTGAATCTTCTCCGGCTCCATTGAATATGGCTACAATTAAGAAAGTACCTAAACCAGCCGATACTACTGCCTCTTCGTTTGTGCAGTCGTTCGAAACTACTACTCCTATGAGGAAAAGAAAACCAACTACTGAAAGAATGAGCACCACACATTCTCCAGTTACGGAGTCCTCGATAAAATTGCAAGACTCCAAGTTTAAAAATAAGACACCAATCATTGTTGGGAAAATACCTACTACAACTACATTAAAAGATAAAATTGAAGAACCGACCACAGCTCTTCCTGAACTACCTCCACTTGATAACAATACGAGATTTGGCACTCCTGTTGTCACATTCCCCCATGTACCACCTAGACAAAGGCCGTCCGCAAATAATACTAAAAAACCAGAAAAACCAATGACGACTAAAATTACTTCTACCGCCGTAGTTATTTCTAAGCCTTTAAATAACACAATGCAAGTTTCTTCTACTGTTGCACCTACGGTTTCCACCTCAACTTCTTCGACTACAGTTATGATTCAAAATTCTACTGAAATCACACGAAATACCACAGAGTCAAATAGCTCTACTGTTAATAATACTTCGTTGAAGAAAAAGAAGAAGAAGAAGAACAAGAATAAACGCAGACCTGTAATTAAAACTTCAAATGATGTTGCACAAAGCAAAATCGACGAACAAAGCACTAAAGTAACACCAGGTCGACCATTGTCAACTCGCATTTATAATTATCTAGCTCGTGAAGTTATGCCAAACGTTGGAGTAGGTTTAGTAGGTTTGATGTTGACAGCTGGTTTAGCAGGCTTACTATTATACTCACCGTTAGGTGGAGCTGCTATACCATTGGTACCATTAAGGCGTAATGATCCTCACATGCACGGCCATAGTCATGGACATGGGCCCGGATACGTGCCACCTGAGACTGATAATTCTCAACCAGAAGAACAAGTATTTGGCCAAGTTTTGTCCGGAATGTCTTACGGTCATAATCCATATGGCAGAGAACGTCCCGACGTAGTTCCCAAATACAAACCATCATATCAACCAACTGATTATCCTGCTGTTCACGATGTGCCTAAATATAATGCCCATGATACTACTAAATACTCTGCTCATGATGCAACTAAATATACAGCACCGGACACTACTAAATATTCAACTCTCGATGGAACCAAATACGCTGTAGTGGAAAGTACTAAATATTCCGGTCCGGACACCAGCAAATATTCCGCTCCGGATACATCAAAGTATTCGACAATCGATATAAGTGCCCCTCAAGAAAAAGTATCGTATCCTTCTTTAGATACGTCTCAAGAACCAGCATTTGAACCAACTCAAGATAGCCAAGATCAGAGTTACCAGAATCAACACTACGAACAACTCAAATTTGATTCATCTAACGCTTACGATCAGCCAAAGTATCAAAGTACTTCACAGGTTAAAGGAACTTATCAAGAAGATCAATCTTCTTTTGAAGTACCCAAGTACCCTGGATATGTTCAAGATGTACCGAAAGAAGAAGCTGTAGCTGTTAACTATAATTTCGATAACCACCGAACTGACGAAAAAGAAACTTCAACGGCTGCATCGTCTGATCCTACATTTTCTGCGTTGCAAGGCGTACCCAAGTTTTACGATTCAAGTTTAAATTCTGAACAGATATCTGTAAACGTTCATCAAACCATGAAAATGGAACACGGGCCTCGAAGCTTAAGAATAAGGCGTCAAGTGGATGAAAATAATGAAATCGACGCTCAATTACCAGAAGAGACCACAATTAAACCTATTGAAGATAACTCCACTAAAACGGTTGAAAATCAAACAGATGATAACACTGGATCAACTACAACAACAGATGCAACGACAGCATCGAACAAAATACCCACTTCGTCAGAATTTCCTGCAGCTAACAATAACCATTTCTCACTGGTAGACTTCATAAAAAGAGTTGCTGAGGCCAAATTAAAAATGGGAATAGAGATTTTAAGAAACACAGCGGCAAGCTTCACTCAATATATGAACGCCATACAGAGAAGAATGACACACATGGTTAGAAATTTACAAAAATCCAATGACAGGCAACAGTTTGAAAACAAGGAGGAACAAAATACAAATCCAGACTCCACTGTAGCCGATGAGACACGGCAACGGAGATCAATAAGATATAGGCTTTATTCAAATTAGACACTTTAGAGTTAAAATAAGTTTGGTGAAGTGATGGGTATGTACAATGAATTGGGGAATTTCTCTTACAATAATTTAAAGACTAAAAACTTAACCTAAAAATGTTCCATACAATTTTTTTATGAATTTATTTTTAGGCTCAAGTTTTGGGATCTACAAGCATATTGTAAATTAAATTGATTTGTAATATGTTTTTGAGAGAAAAATAACATGTTTTTTTGTATTAAATATTTAATTATATATTGTAAGCTTAAGTATGCGATACGTAGCTAATAATGGAAAGTGTATCTATGTATTCGATTATGTATATATTAATTTTATTTTTTTATTTTTTATACGTAACAATATACAGTGTTTTATTTATCGAATAAATAAATGTTGTGTTAATTTTATTTCACTTTTACCCAAAATATTCACTTAATTCTAACAATAAATGTGATACTACTTATTAAATTACAACGATCAGTATACAAGTACTTAATAAATAAATTAAATACGACTGGAATAAAATTATTTCATAAAATAAATAAATAATTAATTATTGTGTAGGTACATAACAGTGCTCAGAAAGTACTTAGGATATTGGCAACAACATCAAATAAAACATTGAGCGGAACGCATAAACGTGACATTGAAGAAAAGCAATACAGGTTATTTAATGTTAAGATTTATCTAGGATATACGTGATGATGCAAAACTACTTCGGGTCTATTCATAAGGTCCCTGCGTTTTCTGCCCACCATCATAGGTAGGAACATTGCCATAGTAGCTGCTGGTAACATGCCTGCACCCACTGCGGCCAATACTGCTCTGCGATCTTCGTTGGCTTTCGCTGACCTATCGGAAAATGCTTGAACGTTGTTTTCGCTATCCTTGAGTGCTCTAGCTGCAAACTCTCTTTGCTCTTGATCCACAGACTTTCTCGACACGTCCACTTCGATCATACCGTTATGCGATGTTGTTGTGTTCTGTGAACCTTTTTCTGGTGGCAATACCATTAATCGCACAGTTCTCTTAGATGACATTGGCCTGCTTACCGAATCTGTTGACCCATCTGTCATTGTATCAGTTCTGCTTAAGGTTTCTACTGGTCTGTTGACTGTGTCGATGGATATGGATCTCGCCTGTAGGCTACGATTCGGCCTATGTGGGATTGAATAACCTTTAGTGCTAGACAAAAGTACCCATTGACCATCTCCTTCGGTTTCGGTGGGCCTAGGTCCACCACTATAGGACGTTTGTCCATAGTCACCATTCCACGGTTTATGATACGTATCGGCAGGAAATTGTCCAGGTTTTCCGTCTGTAATTATATCCTGATCTGCGTTGTTCCATCCGTAATAACTTTGCGAGTTGTGAGGGGCTGATGGTTTTTGATAGTTAGAAGTGTGCTGTGGTTTTGGCGAATAATCGTAAGTAGGTCGAATCCAAGGGCGCTCAGTGGTCCAATCAGATGGCTGCTGCTGTGGTTGATTATAGTTATTACTGGGACGTTGTATAGGCCTATTACTAGCCCAAGGAGAGTACCCAGGTTGAGCGTGATCTTGGGGTGGAGGTGGCCACGTTGGGCGATTGTTAGGTTCCCATTTCTGAATGTGTGATGACGACCATGCCATTGGTTCTAACGTGACCCACCCTCGTCGATCGTCGTATGGATTTTTTGGACTCTGTTGTTGTGGATCTACCAAGTTCCACGATGCCTTAGATTTATCTTGATTACCACTATCGTCATAAGATAATATTTTGTCTGACGATTCGGACTCGCTGTCCGCTTCACCATAACGCTTAAGTATTCTATTCAATTCATCCTGGGTGTACGGTTTAAAGGTAGCGTCAGATCCTCCTAATTCGATACCTGCGCACTCATTGTTATCTGTACACTCAATAGAATACTTCATTTTGGCCGGATCCGATGCTCCAATCAATGATGCTCCGGTTATAGTGTCCCGTCTCCATTTTATTGTTCCCGCGTTCGCATCATCTCTGACGGTGAATGGCTTCGATGTGATTATGTAATTAGTTTGTGTGTTTGGTGCTGAATGGTAAGCTCGTGGTTCTGTATTAGCTGACACTAATATCACCTGTAAAACGGTGGCAGCCCAGATGAACATTTTAAACATTGTTTTATTACGCCAGAGTGTGATGAAAAATTGTTGACATCCTTTGAAAGCAGTCCTTGTATAATCTGCAAAAATAAACAAATATATTAACATTTAAATAAATATAAATTAATTTATCAGTTTTTAAAGTGCCTATAAATATAATAATACAGAGTATAATATTTCAATGTTTTTAACAGTTCACAGTCCCTTTTTTTGTTAATATTGAAAATAATATTAAACATAAAATTATAAATGTAGTATATGTAAAAACATTCAAATTAAAAAAAAAAAAAATTAACGGGTACAATTTTAATATATTCATTCAAAATATTTACGATACGTTAAAATGACTATATGCATACCGTTTAATAACTTTAATTTTATAAAGTTATTTTAGTCTTATAATATTTAATGAATATTTTTACAGTTTCATTTAAAATGTTTGATTACCTTATTATGTTTGTCTAAAATAACTAACCAAAAATGTACTTGTTGTAGATAATTTGAGCTTAGAATGAATCGTAACTTCGTTACGTATTATGTTAGTGTTTAAAACAATATGAAATGTGCTAGAAACTTTTTCCAGAAAACAACACCAATAAAACTCCGGTACTGTTCACGAACCACGTGTCACTGCGCGAGACAACATTCAGACAGCTCGAGAAAGGATACAGTGCAATGAAAATTCGTTGGTGGGTTCACGCGGTTATTGAAGCGCGGAAACGGTGAAAGTACTTTCTATTTCTGTAACTGTAACGTATTTATTCTCAAGAAAAAAAAAAAGAAAAAGAATTCTCGATCTCGTTGACTTTGGAAATTTCCAGGTTACGCCAATTAGAGGGGTTCGTTTGTGTGTTTGATTTAATTTGTTTCGTGCACATACATTTCCGATTTTAGATTTGACGCCGGACAATACAGGTGAAAATCAAACGCGAGTATTAACTGTCATGTATCTACAGAGAATCTTCATGACAATAGGTTTCGGGATTTCACAAATGAACGTCCAACCCTACAAGAAGTTGACGGTCATACTATTATACGCATATAAAAACAAAAATCCAACTGAAATTTTTCTATATGTTTATTTGAACACCTAACTCAAAATAATGTCTATGCAACGGATATTTTACATTTCATAGTATACACACCGTGCCGTTAAGTGTTTAAGTCTAATTCATTTTAATTTAAGCAAAAAAATGTAGGATAAAATGAATAAAAACATTCAGTAATATAGAACTATAAATTTAAAATTATTAGAACAAAATGTTTTCATATAATCAATACGGTGTGTTATTATTATTATATTTATTCCTATTTAATTCTATGACGAAGTGCTGATAAATTTAGCTAGTTTTTACATGTATAATACATCAGTCTTTAATTATTTTGGTTTTAATGATACAAACATATTGAAAACTACTCCATTAGTTTGTTGCATAAGTGAAAAATGCGTATCGAAATAAATAGCAATAGTCAATATCATGGATAAACCTGAACTTCATTAATAGTATCTTAAAATCGCGCAATTAACCCATGACATTATATTATTACAATTAAGAAAACAAAAATCATAGTTTTCATTTATATTATAAACGCCAAAACGTCATGAGCATTTATTAGAACTTGGAGCGTATAATTACAACATAATTTCCTCAAATCTTGGTTACCCTATATACTACATTTAGATATATTTATCTTTGTACATGTTTTTAAGGTTTATTAATAGGTTTTTGTTAATATATAAGCTATATCCGATAATCACCCTTGTCGTTTTGAAAGACGTCTGTGTCGAAACCTTGTAACAATATTAATTTAAAAAAAAACAACCAAATTATTAGATCTGAAGGTTTCTGTAGCTAGACAACTTCTCTTATCAAGTTGTCTATAGTTTTTCTAGATATTTTATGTACATCATATATTTGTATGTACTCGATGCGTTTGAATTATACAAATAGTAAGTTTGCCGATATTAACATTAAAAAAAAAAAAAATTAACAATAATGATATGTTTACTGAAGGACACGAAAGAAAAATTTAGAAATTTTCTTTGAAGTAGATATTTACACAAGTACAACAAAAGAACTGTACGTTCATCGTCATAATCAATTGTATAGTTATCTACAATCTCAGATTCGAATATTTGAATTTATTCCAGGCGTTCAAACAATACATCAAGTAAAAGACGTTACTTATTAGATCGTTCAAAAGATATTGAACGAGAAAACAAAAACCTACCCCCCCCCTCAGTTAATATCATCACAAAAACACGCGTTCGAACGTAAGGTAACCTACACGGTTATTACGGTATCCAATAGGAGTGATGTTGGTTTACCTTTTTGCGGCCGAACAACCTACTCTCGGCTACTGCTGCAGCACAATAGTGGCCGGGATCTCGGAGTGACGCGTGGGACAACCGATGGGACACACGGAAGGCACACGCAAGTCCGTTTCGGCGCTTCGGGCCCCGACGGTGACAACGACGACGACGAGACCTGCACGAGACCCAAGTGAGAGCAGTGCAGCGGTCGGCGACGTGTGTGTGCACGCGTACTTGGATGGATACGACGACGTGCGTGACAAGACGTGGTTGTGCGCGCGTGCGTAGTGCCACGGCGGCGGATCACTTAGTAGCCGTTCAATAACGCACGTCCGACGTTTTATTCGTCACTGAACGGGTGTCGGGATCGCGACTCGCGGGAGAGAACCGCCCGGCCAGAGTCGAACGAGAATAGCGGCCCCCTCGACGGCGGTGATCTCCCCCACCCCGGCGCACGTCGGTGGCTGCAGCATGACGGCGGCCGCACCGGACCAGAACCGCAGGAAAGTTTCGTCCGCCACCTCTTTGCGTCGGTTCTTATTATTTTATTCTAATTTTCCGTTCTCTCCTTTTCCTCCTACCAAACCGACTGGTAATTATTATTACGATTATTATTATAATTTTTTATTTTTTTTCTTATTTTGTTGACAGTTTTCACTCGTGTTCGGATTGTCTGTGCCGTCGATGATGACGATTGTACGCGATCCGTGCACGTATATTTAATATCTATGTATACATGAATGTTTGTGCACATATTTTTGATCTTGTGTTCTTCGCCTACGACGCCGCTCTCTCTCTCTCTCTCTCTCTCTCTCTCTTTCTCTGTGTCTTTGTCACGCGCTTGATTTCCGTCTCCGTCGCGACTCTGTGGTCTCCGGCCGAGCCGCTTTCTACCGTCACCGCACGACGTCTTTATCGCTTCGTCTTTTACCCATCGTCCTGCGCGTCCCGTAGTGTCTAGTCTTCCGTGTCCGACACTCGCACTTTTTCGATTCTCCTCTCCCTCACCGATACGCTTTTCACTTGGTTTTTTACTCTTTTTTTTTTTTTCGACCGTCTGCTGATTTTCAATTTCAGCGCGATCGCCAAAACGATAACCATCGTTTTAGTTATCCATCAAGTCCCTCACAATATAAATTTACACAGACACGTCTTCCATGCTATTATCGTACTTACATATTTATTGTACGATACAAAAACATCTGTTGGCGCATTATTATTTACGTTTGCTTTACGCTAGTAATACATTATTATCTAACTGCTGTAGCACCAGGAGAGCCCATGTGTAATTTCGTCGGATTTCGCGTGTTACCGTAACACGATTAGAAATTGCTAGACGTCATGTTATTATACGTGATTTCCTGTGCGTACCTATATACATCATCGCCGTCACCGTCCAGCCATCGTTAATGGTACACAATGATCGGTGAAAAACGGACCGGTTAATCACGCCGTTCACAATCTGGAGATAATCGCAGTAACATCGGATAACTAATTACTACTACTGCTACAACGTTGCTGCGATTGAAATCGGCGATAATCCGGCCGAACTTTTTAAAATAGGCTTTAAACGATGAAAGTGTATGCGTAGTAATTTAATAATCATTTATCCGCTACGAATGGAGATTGCTGTTTAGTTCTACCAAATCGAAAGTAACAACTTTTTCGCATACGAACTCTTTCCCAACCGACCATAGTCATCATCAGATCCCTAGAGTATTTCTGTCATCCGATAAAATGTATTAATCGGAAATATAGGTATTATATTCGCTACAGTAAAACCTTTCATAATCGTAAAGATTACCGCGTGGTTCTTTACCGTATTCTATTCCTACTTGTTTAATACGACTCGGATGAGCTTCGACGTGATTAAAATTCAATAACAATGACAATGTTTTCTACTAAATTAAATTAATTAAATATAAATTAAATAATTTCCTGAACAATTCTGTCAATAATTAGCTGTTGTTACTGCACAACAACAATACATAAAATGGTTCTACCAATCTTATTATTATCAAAGATAACAATGTATCAAAAGAAATTTCTAAACGATTGTATTTTTTTTCGTAATCTTAGAACGAAAATTATTTTATATTAGATGTTATCGATGTTGATAAAATATACAATAATTCAACATAGTCATAATGTTTAATTTATACAGTTAATTATTACATTTATAATGGTTATTACTTTTTATCCTGTTGAACATTAAGTAAATGTTATCTATTATTTAAAAACGATAGTAAAGTTTTTCAGATAATTACTTGATATATTATTTTTAAAACGTCGTTCTTACTGAAATTAATAATTAATATTAATTTTACTATTTTAATTTAAACATGACTGTTGTTTAAATACAAAAAACTGTAATTTAGATATTTTCAATATAATCAGATATTCATAAATTTATCCAATCAAAATTCATTCATTTCAAACATAACACGTATTCATTTTCAAAAATATTTTAAACACAGACAGTTAGATTTTGGAAAACACCGGACCGTAATTTTAAGCACTACCAAGACTTTCGAATTAATCTGGGTTCGTCAAATTATTTAGGCTATCTAGCCTATACCAACAACACAACTTCTACAATGACTATAAAGACCTTATAATTCCATCAGTATATCATCTGGCCAGATTATACTACTTTTACTTTTGTTCTCAGTTCAAAGACTACCTAAATCCGCCCATAAAATTCCTCTTCTCTCTCAATCTGCCACCTAAAACTTTGAAACGCAACTCACTAAAATCTCCAACGCAAAGTAAATTACCAACTATCAAACAGCATTGTATGAAGAATACTTTTCTAATTTCCGTGATTTATGTTATGGTTTTTTAAATGTTATTATATGTACTTACTGTGAATTTATGAAAATAAATCTTAACTTAATAATTTTTATACTATAATTTATAAATATGATATATGAGCTCTCCTTATTTTAACAAGCAAACAAAAAAAGCAAGATATTTAATAAAGTTTTTCTATACGATTGATACGTTACGCACAAAAAAAAAAAAAAATAATGAAGGTAACGTATATGCTTAATAACATTTGGATAATAAATAATATAGATACATATGTGTGTCGTACACCGCACTAGGCTTACATATTATACATAGCACTTTCATTACATAAAGTATGTATAAAGCATGTACAACTATATATAATCCATAAATGCTATCAGTATTACCAAATTCTATTAGCTTTTTTAATTTTATCTTTAATTATGACACATTCAAAAGGTTTTTATAATTTTCATCTTATCATCAGATATTGCGATATTGCATTATATTGTGACAAAATTATTCATTCTCCTGCATAGTGAATTTTTTTTGCTCAATTAAGCTGTTTTCATTTGAATACTAAAAAATAAAATGAAGGAATGTGAGTATTCCCTTCATAAAAATTATCCGTGCATAATTACTATTTGCGGTTGTAGTATTGTTGTACACTTGTAATAATCAGAACGTGACCTTTTATATACAAAAATTGAAATGATAAAAAACATGTATATAGTGACAATAAATAAACAAGGATTATTTCAAAATATATTATTTATTATAATGTGACAAAATTCATAATTTTGTATTATTATATTATTTTCTGTATCAAAACATCAAAGGAAATTTTGTGTAAATGTATACATTTTAATAAACCAATTACAATAACTACAATACAAATATAGGTAAAGTTTATATTTATAATTCACATCCGTACTCAATTGATCATAATTTAATGTATACATCTTCTGTTATTATTTATAACCTAAAATTATTAACCGGACACTAGAATATTTCAATATCAAAATGATAACTATGTTACGGCACGTATTATCCATTAAAATTGACGGACTCTTCAGTTAACCATATTGGTATATAAAACTTTACACTCTAGTTTAAAATAACAAATAAAATAAAATAAAATAAAAATTATCAACATTGTAAAATGCATGATCAATCGATTTTCACTATTGTTTTTTTTTAATTCCAGAAAGAATATAGATTTCTTTTAGTACTTACAACTAATATAAATAATATATTGTATTTGAACTTAGCCACAAACTTGATCTTAAAACCGATCACCACTTTTAAATTTAAACCGTTACAATAAAGATATAATAATTAATTAATAATATACCTTTAATATTATGCATGTCTACAGTTAAAAGATTAACGATAAAATTATGAAAAATCATATTAAAATACATTATTTTTTCATATTCTTATGTGTTTAAAATATTTTTACACAGATAGAATTAATGTAAAAGAATATAATTAATTAATTCATGAATGTATGATATCTTAGAAAAATTAATAAATATATTAAAACTCAAAACTCAAATTTTAAAGTTTCATATAATTTTTGGTTTTATAAATTTCAATAGTTTTAATAAATTTGTTACCAATTTTATTTAAACAATAAGAGGATTACATAATTAAATGATATAATTTATAAAATTGATTAATTTTTTTTGTTCCCGGTTGTAACATCCAAAAACAAGTTTAATTTTTGTGTACTTAAATAAAAATATTTTGCAACGTATTGTTGCTCAATATCACACTTAGTCGAATTTGTATGAAAATAAATAATAATTACATCATATAATTTTGTACAAACATTTATAAAATATAAATCAGAAATAATTGTACAATCAAATAATCAGTAGCCAATATTACGGAATGATCAAATTTTAAAAGAATCAATATTTTTAAAAGATTTTCAATAAAAATTATTATTATTATTATGATTCATATCATCGACCATCTATTATAATTAGAATGATTTTTAATCAATACACAAAATAATTTTAAATTCAATATTTACTTGTCTAAAAAATAAAAAAAAAGGTCATATGATCGCAATTATTCAAATCACACGGGTTTAGTCGAAAATCTAATGCGTCACGTAGGCGCAAAATATGTAACATGCATTTTGAATCGCGAAGGCAAGTATACAATACTGCGCGTATAATGATGATGATAATAATATTAATTACAATAACAATAATAATACTAATAATATTAATAGTAATTGTTACAATAATAATAGTGTTCGCTTACAAAACGATAATATTATAGAAATCATCCAATTACGATGACAATAAGTAATGGGAAACAAATATACGGCGGCAGGAGCCCTTTGTGCACTTTGACGACGACTAGCAACAACAATGACGATAATGAAAAAAAATATATGTATATACGCACATATATAAATATATATACGTATAATGAAATAAAAACAGCAATTTCTCTGATTCACATAAAGCGTTGTGGTGATGATCGATTCGATAACCTTTTTTTTCGTCGACAACCGTTTCTCTACGAACGCGCCACCACTGCTAACTGCACACCGCTGTCGCCACCGCCGCGT